CAATGCAGCATTTGTTCCTTGACAAATCACCTTGAAATGAGTGTGGTACAAGGGAAAGAAAACCGTTTCGGTGCAATTCTGCAAAAGGCTTGGTCATAAGGAGAAATTCGCAGGCAGAAACAGAAACAGGAAGGATCGCAGCCAAAGCATGAATTGCAGCATGCGAAGTCACCGAGGTGTCCAGTGAGCAATGCGCTACAATTCTCGTTGCTTCAAGTGGTCTGTCAGTGGAGGATGATACCCTCTGGGTGGTGGACAGTGGGTCCACCTCCCACATGTGCAAGGATAAGGCCCTGTTCGTGTCACTTGACAAAACAGTCACGGGCCAAGTACGGCTTAGAAATGGTATGTTTGGAAACCATCAAGGGCAAAGGTTATATAGCCATTGAAACCAGAGAAGGTAGGAAGTTTATCACTGATGTGAATTTTGTTCCTACCCTCTCACAGAATCTCTTGAGTGTGAATCAGATGACTAATCGAGACTACTCGGTTGCATTCAAGGATAATTGTTGCAGGATATATGACCCTGAGGATAGATTGATTGCCTTCATCCACAAAAAAAGATCAAGCCTACTCCTTAAAACTTAGAGAAGTAGTCGAGAAGGCCAGGGTTGCCACTGTTACAGAAAGTGAGATATGGCACAGCTACCTTGGGCATTTTCATGAGGCAGGGCTACAACAACTGGCCTTCTCCAAACATTACGATCACTGAGTCAGTATGTGGTGTCTGCCAGATGGGGAAGATGACAATGAATTCTTTCCCTTCGCAAACAGATTGGAGAGCAAAAGAGAGGCTAGCACTCATACACTCCGACATCTGTGGTCCGATGACAGAAAACTCCATGAGCGGATGCAGGTATTTTGGCTTGTTCATAGATGATTTTTCAAGAATGATTTGGGTTTATTTCCTGCAGAATAAAGCTCAAATCTTTGGTGAATTCAAGAAGTTTAAGACTATGACAGAGAAGGAAAGTGGTTGTGTGCTGAAGTGCCTAAGAACAGACAATGGCCTTAAATTCAATACCAGAGAATTCAAGAACTTTTGTTCTGAGAATGGAATCAAAAGTCAGCTCACGACACCATATTCACCTCAACAGAATGGTGTCTCGGAGAGGAAGAACAGAACCATTGTGGAAATAGAAAGAAGCATGCTTGCTCACAAGCACTTGCCTAAAGCTTTGTGGGCTGAGGCAGTAAACATTGCCGTGTTCCTGCTTAACATGCTACCTACAAAAGTTGTGAAGGAGATGACACCTGCGGAGGCCTGGAGTGGCATCAAACCATCGACTAAGTACCTGAAGGTGTTTGCCTCCGTATGTTACTGCCATATCTCGAAAAACAGGAGATCAAAGTTAGAAGAGAAGGCTGAATTGAGAGTATTTTTGGGTTACAGTACTGAAGCAAAGACATATCAAATTCTAAGCTTGAAAACCAACAAGTTTATGATTCGAAGAGACGTTACAGTGGACAAAAGGAGCTACTGGAATTGGGAGAAGTAGAAGGTCGAACCAGACTGTGTGACAGTGGAAGAAGGAATGAGACCTCTGTCAGTATTTAACCCAACTCAGGCTGAGGAAGAAGATGATGAAGATGAAGAAGATGAAGCAGAAGGGAGAACCAAAATAAAAAGCTTAGTTCACATCTATGAAAGGTGCAGCTTTACTTCAAATGAACCTTCCTATGTTGAGGAAGCATTTAAGCAGCAACAGTGGAAGCTTGCCATGGAAGAGGAAATCAGGATGATCGAGAAGAATAATACCTGGTCTCTGGTAAAATCAAGTGCAGACAGAGAGCCTATTGGAGTCAAGTGGGTGTTCAAGGTGAAACTGAATCCCGGACAGGACAACAAACAAGCACAAGCACGGCTTGTGGCAAATGGGTACTCCCAGCTTCCTGGAATCGACTAGACAGAAACCTTTGCTCCTGTGGCCAGACATGAAACAATTAGACTCATTCTGGGCTTGGCAGCTCAATTTGGATGTGAAGTCGATCTTCTTGAACGGTAAGCTGAATGGAGAAATCTATGTATAGCAGCCACCAGGATTCATTCAGCCAGGAAGGGAGAAGCATGTCTACCTTCTTCACAAGGCCTTACACGGCCTCAAACAGACTCCACAAGCCTGGAATGATAAGTTAGATACATATTTAATTCTCTGTGGGTTTGAGAGAAGCAGCACAGAGACTACACTGTACGTGAATAGAGAAGAGGACAAGTTAATCACTGCAGTATATGTTGATGATATACTGGTGACAGGCAGCAACAAAAAGAAGATGATGGAGTTTAAGCTGAAATTGGAAAAAGAATTCGAGATGTCTGATCTCGGGGAGGCTACTTACTTCCTGGGAATAGAAATTCATCAAAGTAGCTTGGGTATTTTCCTTTCGCAAGGCAAGTATGCCAAAGAGATCCAGAATAAATTTAACATGGATCACTGTAAATCAGTACCTACACCACTGGTGTCCAACTTGAAGTTGTCAAAGGACGAGTAAGGTAGCAAAGTTGATGAGTGGAATTACAGAATTCTGATTGGGAGCCTCCTGTATCTCACAGCTTCTAGACCAGACATCCTGTTTGCAATAAACTTGCTTTCAAGATACATGATTTCACCGAGGGAATCACATTTACAAGCTGCTAAACATGTGCTTAGGTACCTAAAAGGAACCTGAAATTTTGGTGTTCAATACAAAGCAAGAGCTAAGAGTGGATTGGTTGGCTACAGTGACAGTGATTGGGCAGGAAGCGTGGAAGATGCACGTAGCACAAGTGGGTACTTGTTTAAAATTGGCTCCAGTGCCTTCTCATGGGTATCTAAGAAGCAAGATATTGTGGCACAGTCCACGGCTGAGGCTGAGTATGTACCTGCAGCTACAGCAGCTAACCAAGCAATTTGGTTGAGGAAAGTGTTCGATGATGTAAAGGTGGACAAACAAGGACCTACAGTGTTGTATGTAGATAACAAGTCTGCAATTGCCATTGCGAAAAATCCTGTGATGCACGGGAGAACTAAACACATCAATGTTAAGTACCATGCTATACGTGAGGCTGAGAGAAATCAAGAAATCAAGCTTATACATTGCTCCACTGATGATCAACTTGCGGACATTCTAACCAAGTCCCTGTCTAAAGCTAAATTTGAGGAATTGCGCGGAAAGATGGGGATTGGTGGAAAAATCATTAAAAAGGGGTGTTAAATTTAATGATTTTTATCTGTTTAAGTTTCAATTTAAATTCAAATCAACCGTGAAATTGTTTCACGGTTGGATACGCAAACACCATGCAACGTGTATGCATGGATTCTGGTTTCTTTTGAACTTATCACTTGGTTGATGTAATTTGTTTTTTTTTTTTTTTTTTGCATTCTTATATATACAAGAATGAAACAAGAAGAAAGTAAGTTTTTCTTCTCCAAAAAATTCAATCCATCTGAAAACTGCAAAACAGAGGATATCACATAACTTTGCTCTGTTTTGCTGTCACTCTCTCTCATCAACTTTCTCTCTCTAAGTTGGCTCATCCATAGAACTTCCTTTGACGCTCATTTACTTACGATCAACACCTTCCATTCTGGCCCCGTATCTCAATCTCAAAATAACATTCAGCTTTATAGACCTATCCTTTGAAATTATCCCTATTGAACCTAGGGATGTCCAGCTTAAATCTCAGTCCTCCATATTCATCCACATTATCTTTATTCTGGCCTGTCTTATTTTCCCTGACTTCTTCTTTGACCACTAGCGCAGTTTTGGGTCCATTTACCAAGGTCGTCAACAGCTGCTTCTCCTATTTCTTGCTTGACTTATCCTAATTCTTGCTCCATTTCCCCCATATCTTGCTTCATTACTCCCATTTCTGATCCAACCTTATTTCCTCCATTTTCTTGGATTCCTGAGACCGGGTATCTTCTGAGATTCCCATGTAAACCGGAACGGGCTCTAATACCAATGATACACTAAGAATAGCAGAGAGAGAGAGAGAGAGAGAGGGAGAGAGATCACGAAGGAAAGAACTTCAGCTTCTCATTTATGCATGCATTCTTCTTCGGCTATACAGGTATTTATAGATCGTAAGTACAACAGTAAAACTGCTTCAGTTTCATCTTAACTGCTTTCCTGATTTGATTTACTAACGGTAACATTTAACAAAACTTAATTCCCCAATTCCTCTCACATCGCATATATCATAATAAGCTATGAAATTACAGCACTTACCTCGCTATGTGATGAAATTGGTCTTCACATCTTCATGAACTGCCTTCTGGCTCCTGGAGTAGTAAAAAACTGGAAAAGGGACTCGTTACAGCGGTGATATTCGGCTTTATTCGTTATAAGTCTAAACGGCGACGTTCCATACAGTACGAGCTCGAGGATTTCCAGTTTATAAAATCAAGGGTTATTCAAATGAATCACAAAATAAAGGGTTAAAATGGGAAAAGCACATTTTATACGAACCTCGTTCCTCGCGGACTCGAAGCAGCGTCGTTTTATATACAAATTATGTTATTTTTATTTAATTATTTGTGTGAATTTTGGGCAGTTGGACAACGTCGTAGTGTTTCGTGTTTCAGAACAAAGACGACGGGAAGGGAAAGATCAGAGACGAAGTTATTTGGTTCTTAAACTGGTATATGAGCATCTTCAATGACGAAAGTTCAAGTTAAGATGGTGCTAACTCCATGGCGGAGCAAAATATACAATTCCTTCAGTTAGATCTCGATTTCTTCTTCTTTTCAATCCGCCTCTCTGATCCCATTAGATCTCGTCAATCATTTCCAACACCAATCTGATCTGTGAATTCGAGAAGATCCTTAGGAAGCTGGAAACTAATGGCAGGAGCAGCCTCGGCACTGTTTCTCCTGGACATCAAGGGGCGCATTCTGGTGTGGCGCGACTACCGGGGGGATGTCTCCGCTGTTCAAGCAGAGCGCTTCTTCACCAAGCTCATCGAAAAGGAGGTTCGCTTCTTGTCTTTCTTATCGTCTTACTGTATATTTATTTTCTATTTTTATATAATCTTTTATGTGGAAGCTTAATTGTGCGATTTGGTTACTGATAAACTGGGTGGAAGAAAGGAACACGAAAACTTTGAGCTTCTTTTCGTTTTTTTGTACTTTTTCCTATTTCCTAAAGCACGTAACTAATCTAAAGGAACTGAATTAGTCTTTTTGTTAAGTAGAGGATGCATTTTACTTAACTCCAGTACTTCAAGATCCAAAATCGCATTATTTGTATTAGTAACTAAAAACAATATGTTTTCAGCTTGAAGTTGACAATTGATGTTTATATTTTCTTTCTGGATGATCTTACCATTACAAATTCAGACTCCGGTGTCTTACAAGTTCTATCCGTGAATTCCTCTCGATTGGATTTGTTTGAGCAAGATGGAAAGCTTATTGTTGGTTTTGTGGTTTTAATGTACTTTAGGGCGATCCTCAGTCCCAAGATCCGGTTGTGTATGATAATGGAGTAACATACATGTTTGTACAGCACAGCAATGTTTACCTGATGACAGCATCGAGGCAAAATTGCAATGCAGCCAGCCTTCTTTCCTTCCTACACCGAGTTGTTGATGTAAGCACGATTGGTAATTCTAATTTCATGTCTTCATGGTTGTATTTTGGCAATAAAACAGAAATGATATCTGTAAATGTAAATGAAGTTAATAAAATATGACCTAATTTAACATGGATTATTTACACATAAAAAAGGAACTTGGATAAACTATTTGGTAAAATCTGTTTATAACTTTGATTATTAGTTACAAGTCATAACGTTTTTGCAGGTCTTTAAGCATTATTTTGAAGAGTTGGAAGAGGAATCACTTAGGGATAACTTTGTGGTAGTGGTATGTTTTTTATCTTTTGCTTAGAGCTACATGAATCATTTTATGCTTATTTAATATGTTTCAAATTAGTGCATGACATCATGAGATCATATGGATCTGTTATTTCGGCAGTATGAGTTGCTTGATGAGATGATGGACTTTGGCTACCCTCAATATACAGAGGCAAGAATTCTTAGTGAATTTATCAAGACAGATGCATATAGGATGGAGGTCACGCAGAGACCTCCTATGGCTGTTACAAATGCTGTGTCTTGGCGAAGTGAGGGTATAAATTACAAGAAAAATGAAGTAGGTAGCTTTTTTCTTCTTCTAGAAGTGTCTTGTACATTATTTCAAAAAAAGACGTTTTTTGTACATGTCTGAACTGCCACATAATAAGATCTGCGCTTATCTTTTCAGGTTTTCTTGGATGTGGTGGAGAGTGTTAATATACTTGTCAACAGCAATGGACAGATAATTAGGTCAGATGTCGTTGGGGCACTGAAAATGCGAACCTATTTGAGGTGCATTCTCCACTGACTTTTAGGGTTTTCAGTTTCCATAAAGGGTTAAGATGGCATATTTTAGTTCCATTAAGATGATCAAATTCATGGTTCACTTACTAATCTGTGTGTCTTTTGCACGCATTTCTATTTGGGTTTGAAGATGTTAAATACTATTTTGAGGATATGTAAGTTGATATATTGCAGAAATATCTATGTCATCATAAATTCTGCACTTAAGGTCGATAGTAAATCCTATTAAGTGTTGGTCCTTGGAGTTGTATATCATTGTTCAGTATCTCATGTAAAACATTCCCTTGGTTCTCAAGCAAACAAGTAATTTGATTTTATATTGTTATGCCAAGACTACAATCATAATTTATTACTTGGTCTCTTTTCATTATTTATGTTAGTAAATTGCCTACAGACATCAATTTTTCATGAAATTCATAGGTAATTAGTTTTCTGTTTTTTCTTTTTTCAGAAACTACACACACCCATTTATATGCTTCTTTTCAATATAAAAGAAATTGAATTTCTCTCTAAATTTCATGCATCATTCTGGAGAAAACTTACAATAAATGTCATAATTTAGAGATAATTGCTGTCTTTTGATTTTTTTTCTTTTTTTTTGCTTGATTGCTAAATGCTTCACTCCTTCAACCATTTTGTGGCAGTGGCATGCCCGAGTGTAAGCTTGGCTTGAATGATAGAGTATTATTGGAGGCACAAGGCCGGGCAACAAAAGGAAAAGCAATTGATTTAGAGGACATCAAATTTCATCAGTATGTAGCATAACTATTTTTGTACCGGAAACCATGTGCAATAGTGCTGAGATGGATGTACAAATTATAAATTATTGTGATCTAAACTTGAATATTTCGTTTTGAGTAAATGCCCATTTTTGGTTCAGGTGTGTACGTTTGGCTCGTTTTGAAAATGATAGGACAATATCCTTCATACCACCTGATGGATCTTTTGATCTGATGACATATAGACTCAGTACCCAGGTCCTCCTCATGCTCAACTGTGTTGTTTCTTTCTATCAGATCCATACCATATTTTGTTTTAAAGTTGCTTTGCATGGTTATGTTTGATTATTTTTTCTATTAATTTTTTCAGGTAAAACCTCTGATCTGGGTGGAAGCTCAAGTTGAAAGGCACTCAAGAAGCCGTGTTGAGGTCTTGGTAAAGGCAAGGAGTCAATTTAAGGAGCGAAGGTATGAATGTCTAGCCCACTATACATTTGTTTTTATATTAAACATTGTAATGGCCCCATTCATGGTCCGGTAGGCTGATGTCTAGATTTGCAAAGTACTGAAGAAAGTTATTTTTACTGGACAGTACTGCTACAAATGTTGAGATTGAGTTGCCAGTACCATCTGATGCTTCCAACCCAAATATGCGGACATCAATGGGATCTGCATCATATGCACCTGAAAAAGATGCCTTAAGCTGGAAAATTAAATCCTTTCCCGGGGGCAAGGTATGAGCTAACTTCAAAGTTTGGATTAAAATTTTCTTAATATTTTTGCTACTTGGAATGATGGATTTTGAGCTGGAAATATTCTATTTTATGCAATTACATTTTAGCATTCTTTCTAATTGCAAAATCTCACGCTTTCTAGGAGTATATGTTGAGGGCAGAGCTCAGTCTCCCCAGTATAGCTGCTGAAGAGGCAACCCCTGAGAGAAAAGCTCCTATACGTGTGAAATTTGAGATACCATATTTTACTGTTTCTGGAATACAGGTGCGCTGAGTTTTTCTATGCTGTTTCTTTTTTTTTTCTCAAAACCATTCCTGCTTTTGTTGAATGGCATGATATTAATCTAGATGCAAACATTCCTGTCATGAGGTCCAAGAAATGAATCACATTTGATTGACTTGGTCTATAAGTCTGCTGGATAAACTCAGGATGAATACGTGGATTTGGTGTGTCCATAAGTGTGATAAACTAGTAGTTGAGATTACATGCCTGTTTCTTTTTAATACTGAAGCCAATTGCTATGCCATGAAGATATCACCATCTTAATCCTTTGAAAATTTTGTAACTTCTGGTGCTGAAGATATTTTTGTCATGTTTGGTAAGGAAGTAGTACTGTAGCTTTCAAGGTTAATTTGGTCTATTGTTACCTAAACTGCAGTGCATTTAGACTATGGTGTGGGAGATAGGGAATATATATAATTAATGCTAAATTTAGGTTCGATGTGGTAGATTTAATCGTTGTGTTGTTTTGATATGAACTTCTGTTGAACCACTTACTAGATTTATTACTGGGATTGCAAAATAATTGTTTACTTGTACATTCTGCTCTATTTAGTCTTGTTCTTTTTTCTATGAGAAGAAATCCAAGACATGAATCCTTTATAGGTAAAATAAGAATATTAATTCTCATGTTATACATTCTAAAGATGATGTGGACAAATAGCAGTTAAACTACCTTCTTATGTAGATAGTTCAAAAATAGAGAAAATTTAGGTGAAAAATAGAGAATATAGATAGGTAAAGGGAAATTCAGGATCAAGGTAAAAAATATAGAGAAAAGCATAATGGAGGGGATACGTTAGATAGAATGGTAACCCAAAAAAAAACACAACAGTAGATAATAGGGAGTAGAACACTAACAGTGAAATTCTTAATTATCGTTGGCTTCTCTTTGTTGGTAACTGCTACGCTTTATATAGGCATTAGTTATAATTAATAGGGAAAATTGTAATAGTAAAAATGTAAATGATTATAGTTTCTATAATATTTAAAATATGTCCAGAAAGAAATTAGAATATTATAAAGTATAAAAGAAAAAATATAAAATTTTCTAATTCCTGTAATATTTAAAATATACCTAAAAGGAAGTTAAAATATTTTAATATCTAAATAAACCTAAATAACTTTAAAATAAAAAATAACAATAATAAGGACAAATATTACTTCAATAGAAAATTTATCCTAAATTACGGTCTTTTTTTCTGCATCATTCTATTCCATTTGGTGAAAGCTTGATCTCGAGTTTTGAAGTGGTGGAGCATCAAAATAGGACAAGCTTCAACATGTTCTTCAAAATCTTCAAGAAGTTGAGAATTCTGATAATCTTCACACAAAAACTGAATGTTAACTAAAGTTCTAAGTTCCATAGGATCATTAAATCAACAAGTTGAAATCAAATTATCCTTAGAAGTCTCTTCAGTGTAGTCATTATGAATAGGAATTATCGTGATAGGAGGTAGAACAAGATTGTTGGAAGGAGGAAATTGCTGAACATGATTAATATGAACAAAAACAACTTCAGCAGGAGCCGATATCTCTTGGACTGTTGCTGGTAGTTAAAGGAACTTCAAGTTTTTCATCTTCTAACGCCGAAGGACTGTTAGTTCAACTCTTAACCTCAGCCTTTAATTTTTCAGAAGATATCATATTTTCCTAGCTTCTGAGTATAAGTTTATTTCATAGTCAATGTTTAACTGACTTATTTCAGGGAAAAAAAAGTCAATATTTAACTGATGACAGTTATTATATGGAATGACCATTGAGAGAGTTTTTGGCATAGCAGCATCTTAAATACGTTGATATTGGATATGCATCCACAAGGGCCAAAATTTTGGTATAACACATCATATGTAACCTGGTAGATCATATTGATGAATTGAACTTGCAGTTTATTGGATTCCATGTCAGGTTAAAGTTGATCTACTCTCAAAGTGATTATAAGGTGCAAATTGACCTATCTGATATGGTGGAGAAATTTGAGGTTTTTTTTGGGTAATATAAAATGAGTGACAGAAAGATAAGAATAGAAGTTAGACTCTGATATCAATTGATGTAGGGCAAGTAGTTGTTAAACTACCTTGTCTTGCGGATGGTTTAGAAATAGAGAAAATTTGGTGAGAAATTGAAGAACGTAGATAAGCTAGAAGAAATTCAAGCTCAAGGTAAAGAAACATAGAGAGAATTGCAGGGAATTGCAGGAGTACATTACAGGTGATATGTAGAAACTAGATATAGGTAATTTTGAATATAACATATAGAATTCTAAAAATTCTTTGATAATATCTTGATTTATCAATTCCATGCAATCCCATATTGCACAAACATATTTGTTATTTGATACTGTAACAGAAGAGATGCTATTATTAATGTATACTACATATCATTCCGGAAAAAATAAGTTTTCTGGAGGGGTGTTCTGGTGTTTCTGCTTTTGAGAGAAGATGCTATTGTTAACGTAGAGTACAAATATATATGCGTATAGTTCCACAAGTTTAACTTAATAAGCAAAAGAGACCTGGTCTCCATTTTCAGAGGAAAGAGATGATCAGGTAGAAGCACTTGTCAAGAGTGAGATTCTTAAGAGGTTCAGTGTCTTAATTTCCTTGTAAACATGAATTCTGGTTGGATAAATCAAGTTTAAGTAAACCTGATCATGTTTGTTTATGCATTTTTTAATATTGTAGGTTCGCTATCTGAAGATTATTGAGAAGAGTGGCTACCAGGCTCTGCCATGGGTGAGATACATAACCATGGCTGGGGAGTATGAATTACGGCTTGTGTGAAAGCTGCTTGGTTTAATTGGCTTACAATCCCACCACCTATATGATTATGAAATCCAATCACCGAAAACATTTACAGAAATAACAAAACTGGTAGACGAACAAGGGCAAATGGGAAGTCATTGTAATTTTTCATTTTGGGTAAGAAAATTTTATTTGCGTTGCTGTGCTTGATTCTGTGCATTAAGGTTGTTAATCCGGCAAGTAGCCTTGTAATGTTGATATTCAGGAAGTTTTTTATCTTATGCAAATCAAGAACAAGGTATTTTGAATTGAAAATTTTGCACTAAACTCTCAGTGTTTAGCTCTAAGCACCATTATGTGATTAATATAACCATGGTCAGTTCCTTTTCTGGAAATGGTGCTTCTTGTGGGATTACATATTAAGGAATTATTTGTTTTGCACTTCCCTTTGGGTTTGTCTTCTTGCGGTTCCTATCTTTTCCAGTTTCTGTGAGTGTAAAATAAAATATTACGACACTCCTGCATTCATTCTTCAGGATCTCTGAAACATCCATTGTGGACAAGATGCGGCAATGATTCTGTGACAACCATCTACCTACAGAAGCATTTCTGAAAAAAACATAGAAAAATGATTCATGATACATTTGAGTCTTTCTTAGTGGCTTTATTTGTAGAGACGGAAAATGTAGCATTTTGTTATCTAAATTGAACTTGCAAATAAGTAACAATTTGCATTTGGATTGAGGAGTATTTAAATTTGCACTAAGATATTTTTCAAAGTATGTATTGGTAGTTGACACTGAATCATTATATTAAATTTCTGACATAATTTTATCGCATACCGGTAATCAAACAATGTTATAGAAAACCATTACGTATACTTAATTCATTAATTTGTGTTTACAAAAAAGTACTAGCAGTGTAGCACTTAAGACAATGTAATGGTGTAAAAGTTGTTAGTTTCTCAACTTACAAAACACACACACATGTATATAGTCACTAAGGTGCCAAAGATGTCTTTGGCGCTACCCCTCTAATGAGCAGGTCAGTCATCGTGATTTAGAAGAAATAACATTAATAAAACAGCATAGTACAAGCTTCAAAGTAGTAAAAAAGTATCATCTGCTGCATTTATTTTGCATTTGTATATACTAGATCGTCAAGATACGTGTCGCTATGGGAGCGAGTCTTGTTGGTTTAGGTGGCTTTTTATGAATCAGTATTACACTTGAGAAAGCGTTGACATAAGTGACATGCGAGTATCAAAACCTGCGTTGTATGTAAGGGTATTTAATCGAATGACAAGCCAGCTTTCATGCTTTAACAGTTAGTAAGGATACATATGATCAGTGTTAGCTTTATTATGAGGTATTTTATTAATGGTGCCAAGTTTTGGCCAGTTCTCCTAGGGTAAAGGATATTGAAGGAAGCTAGATCGCATAGCTCTGAGATACTAGAAGCGGGTGATGGTACCCAGGAAGAGGTGTGCATATGTGCATGTATATGATGCGCACATATACGTGCGTAGATATTTATTTAACAAACTGCATCCTTTCTATTTAGGGTTAGGAAAGGATATATCTGTGTGTATGCGAGGCTTTGGTGCACCTGGTTTTAGTCCCCATATATTCTTTTTCCCTAGTTTTGAAATAAGAAGAAAAAGAGAATCTAGAGATAGTCAATTAGAGTTTTGTCCTTTCAAATCATCTTTATATTCTTCCTTGCATCTTACTTGATTCTTCATTGTTTATTCACTTGTTTTTCAATTTAATTATCATCATATTTATTTGATAAAATCTTGTATTGGATCAAAACAAACCATAGAGAATGAAAACTCTTATTCAAACTCGATGTAGAACCTAAATTCATCGAGTAGGGGTGTGCGATCCCTCTTATCCAAGAAGTCCATATTATTTAGAGCTAACAAAAGCTCATAAGATTTGTTTGGGATACAGTTGTTGGACTCCAGCAACTACTACATCTGAGCAAAATCCTTAAAGGGTGGTTTGAGAATCAAGAATGAATTATGTTCATGATGAAAGTCTAAAAGAACTTATAAATTCAACCAGTTCATTTATAAAATATTAGTTGTATAATGATATTATTATTACACGGATACATTATCTATAGAGATAAAATGTAGTATTTTTTCTGTCAAGACAACCTATCAGTTTTTGAGTGAGTTGGAACAGAGATATGCATAACATAATACTCCCATGATCTATCAGGTAAAGCAATTAATAGTTAGCCTTGTGTAAAAGTAGGATATTGTAAATATTTACTTCTCAAAATTCGAAGTACTTTTCGACAAATTACTTAATTATGAATCGATTCCAAACTATATATGTTAAGGATTAAGATCTATAATAGAGTACCAATAGAGAAACTTAATGATAAAAATTCTGATGGAATTAAATGAATCATAAAAAGATATTAAAGTTTAAATATTATTAATTAAACTATTTCTTAACCTTAATTAAGTGTATTAAATTGTACAATAAAAAAAAATACAAAGAAATATCATTAGATAGTTCACCTAACAAAAGTTTGGCTTTTAGTATTAGGGACCCGGATAAAATCACTAGAGACCCTAGCTTCAATAAAGAAATATATTACTGTTTATATTTTAAGATGACAAGTCAATTGGTTTAAAAGTATTTCAAGACAAATTTAAGTAAACTTATGTATTCTCATTGTTGCATGCCCGTATACAATGTGGAAAGTTGTTGTAAACTATATGAATATCCCAAAAGGCTTAGACTACATGGGAAGATGAAGGTGTCTGGCGCTAATCAAGTTTTAAGATCCTCTTGGGGAGACAGAGACAACAAAACAAGTTGTAATCACACATGAACAATATACACAATTAATGGTTTTGCTACAATAACTCTTTAGCATACTTGGTACAATCAAAGGTCTAGAAAACCTTGAATATTTTCTTAGAACAGAAGTTGCACGATCCAAGAATATAATTCATATGTACCAAAAAAAATATGCTTTGAATTTGTTAATTGAAACAGGTATAATAAGTGCAAAACTTTCAAAGTTACCATTGGACCAAACTATAAAGCTATTAAAGGATGTTGGTGAATTGATCCCTAATCTTGTCATGTAAAGAAGACTTATATGCAAGCTGATGTATCTATCTCTCCCAAGACTAGCTTTGTCATTTTAGTGCAATTAACCAGCCAGTTCATAAAACAACCTCATGATTAACATCTAAATGTTACCTACAAAGTGCTTAAGTATGTTAAAAGAACATCAAGACAATGATATTTTTACTTATCTCTTTTGAAGTTTCAAGTCAAGGACTACTATGATAGTCATTGGGTTATATGCACTGGCGAGCATAGATCTGTCACATGTTAATATATCTTCCTTTGAGAGTCCCTTATTTTTTGGAGATAAAACAAAAAAACAAAAAACAAACAACCGATTTTGACATGTTCATTTGCATAGGTAGAATATAGAATGATGACAACAATAAATTACAAGACAATATGGACAAGATACTAATTATCATATTTAAAGATTGATCACCCACGGGTTGTGATTCTATGTTGTGATAATAAAACTGTTTCATCACTCCACTCTCTCATAAAAGAATAAAGCAGATAGAAATTGATCGTTATTTAAAATTCGTAAAAAGATTCAAGACATGATTGAACATCAAAATCCAGGACTAATATCCAAGTGTAGACACAATTCATTGTTTAACATCTATTAAATAATTTGTATGAAAGTTTTACCACTGATAAAGTGTTTGAATTTTGAATTATTCTCCAAGTTAGTTGGGTATTCTAGTTCTTCACTTAATCTTCTTATTCCTCTCTATATATATACACACACACACACACACACATAGTGTATAAATAAGACTATAGATATATCTCTTTTAGTGTTAATTTTGTTGTTTATAATTGATTACTAATCCTCATATGCTGATAATTTGGGATCAATGTGACTCTTTCTGAGAGGTTCCTTGAATAATGAAATTGTTATCATTCCATAATTTATGTTATTTAACTTTTAGCTATGAGTATTAATGTGTATTTTTTCATAGTATTCTCCTTTTTGGATTTAGAGAGTTTGGTACAATTGACTTTTTAAAGAATTATGTGAATAATGTGATTTTGAATGTTTTGACCTCTTTCTTTTTTAATTTAAATGGTAGTTTTATATTTATTATTTTTATTTTTGTAAATTTTTTTCACTAATTTTCTTTTTAAATGCATTCTAAGTAAATACTCAAATGTATAATTTTCACTATTAAAATTTTTATGAGATTTACTGAAATTAATAACAGTGAGATTACTTGAAATGTTTGTGTTTTAATGAATTGCGAGTTAGAAATTCTCCTTTTTGAATATTTTTTTGGAGAGCATCTAACTCCTTATAGGCTTCTAGACATTATCCCTTGAAAAAATCATCACTATAACTAATGATTTGTAGGGCAAGCTAGTTTTATTTAAACTTAATAGATTGACAAGGAGATGCTTTCAATACTGTGCGTAGATATCATATTTATGCATGTTAAATAAGGTTGCAATCTTGCATTTCCACAGAATTTTTATTTGTATTTATGAAACAAATGGGAGGTTCTTTAATTTGGAATTGTGTATTGTTCCAATGTTTTTATTGAATAATATAAAAAGTAAGATGGTATTTAGTTTTTAAAAATAACTTAATTAAGAATCTAGAAAATAAACATAAAAAAATAATTGGTTTAATTTTTTAATTCTTTATTTTTTTATTAATTATTATTTTGATATTATCTTAAATTTAACAATATATACATGTAAATGTAAATCACAAAATATTTTTGACAAATATATAATTTTTAGTTTTTATAAATAAAAAAAATTATAAACAAAAAGTAACTGGTTGCCTGCTTAAGAATTTTAGTTTAAGCATATTTTCTTTTGGCACATGAGAAAAGTCAACAACCTAAGCTCTAGTAGTCCTTGGTCAATAGCCAGATCAAGCTTCAAGTAATTACACACTCTTTAAATTAAAAAGATGATAAGTTTATTCTTTAATAATCCAACAACTGTGCGGTTCTTCTTTTTTTTTTTTTTTTTTTTTTAAACAAAGGGAAAGCAAAATCCAATATGCAATGTAGGCAACTGTACTGTCTTTGACTTTTTGTATTGCAGTCAAACCCTTTCTACTTCTCTGACTGTGTTTAAAAATATCTTGAGATGTCAGCATTCATCCACCACATATTAACATTTCCATGGAGTACTGATTTATGATTTCCAGTTATTTGATTGCTGATAACCTTTCCAAGAAAGTATTGAACACATCGTCTCGGCTGAGCATGCTAATCCGAACGTACTCTGGATCACTCTCAAACGACGATCCACCCCTTCCCAGTATCTTATATGCTTTTAAAAGACTTCCAGAGTCTCTACCATCCTTGCTTCTCAGCCATGCAAATCCTGTTGGTAAATTAAAACAAACATGAGACTTTTTTTCTTTGGCCAAACAATAATTGATTTATATACCAATTTTACATGTATGTATATATATATATATATATGATGCATTACCAGGGTTTGATTCTTTGATCGTTCTACTGAAGTTGCAGAACTCTCGAGGGTATTTAGGCAAACTGAAGACTTCATTGTGTTTAACTAGTTTTCGTAGTTTCTTCCATCTTTCAGCCATGAGACGATGACCATGTTCGAAGAAGTTGTCAGAAGAATTTTGGCATTCATCACTGATCACTTCAAGAATCTTCGCAGCACGAATTTGAGACTCTTTTGATACACCAATAGAGTTCAGCTGAATGTAATTTACCATCTTTGAAGCCACTTCCTTATCTTTAACAAGAGCCCATCTTTATCCAAAAAAGAAAAGGAAAAGTTCAGATTTCCTGCATATATGCATATACATGTATTATATATGTACATATTGCTCACCCGATGCGAGAACCGGCATGTCCGGTGGCTTTGGATAAAGTAAAGAGCATGATATCGTGGTCAGCAGCGGCGGTGATTGGCGTATAATGAGGCCAGTAGTAGGCAAGGTCATGGATTAGACTTTCCCTCCTTCACGTTTCACCCACAGATTCTCTGATACTACCATCAGGGTTGTTTGGTGAGTTGATCACCTCAATGTACGGTCCTTCCTTATCGTAACTTCTTGCATCACCTGCCCATTTATACAGCCCTGAACGCACCAAGTCTGTCTCCACCGAGTATGACTGTAAAAATAAAACCCAATTAAACATGGTTTCTTTATAGTATCTAATCATTACTTACACAAACATAGATAACTCATTGGACTAATTAAACTTTCCAGGTTTCTACCTTTAATATTCCTGGTTAATAATTAACTATGTCAGTCAAATAGATTAATCACAGTTCTTCTTTTGAAATGTAAGGATATGATAGTTTGACCAACATGGTTCCAAAAGTAGACATGCCCATGTTACGATTCATTAATGGCGCCCAAGGATTGATAACACATTCAGGCGGATGCATATGCTTGTTTCTCAATATGTGTGTGTTTTTGAGGATTAAGGAACATGTCTGTCCCTTTGTCTCAGGATCCAAAGCTGTTTTCCTCACTTCGTGCCACCATTAATTATGTTTCCTTTTTCCTTCATTATCTTATATCTTATAGTGATCAACTCGGACACTATGTGTACTTAATCTATATATATTTATTTTATTAATTAAATAACATATGTATATTTATTACAACAAAATTTTTCATATACATAAAAATAAATACTCCAACTTGAAATTATAATTTTTAATATAAAAATAAATGTATTAATCATGCAGCAAAAAAAGTACTAACATGCGTAATCTAGATCTATAAATTCATTAGTAATTTTTTTTTGAAAGAGTAGAAGATATCTTTCAGTTTTTTCATTAAGACTTAAATAAGACTCCCCAATAAATTGAGTAAATTTAGAGACCGTAATCTCCAGGTAGATTTAACTCATTTAGAATTTGATGATGATCAATTTGTTTTTCCGAGAAAGAAATTGAAATGCTTGTATAATTAATTAGAGCTAAGCAATGTCTGTGGAAAGATATGCTGATTGGCTCACCGAGTAACAAGGGGCGGCGGATACAACATTGACGGGATCAGGTCCGCCGGCAAAAGTGAGGGCGTACAAGGCGGCCTGGTAGAGTTGGGTGGAGCCCGTCCCCACCACGATATAACGATCTTCCGCCACCGCATTTCCCACCACCATATGCAATCTCCTGATCGCATCGCCCAGTCCACTCTCCAGAAACCAGCATATGTTCCCAACGTCGCTGAAGTAGCTCATCAAATCCCATCCTGAAATCACCACCGTACACTTGTCCCCCTGCTTCCTCCAGTACCCTTCGAAGATCGTTGGATCACCTCTGCCCATACCCCCAAAAAAAATAAGATTTATCTAATAATTGCCATGCATGCATGCTGTTGCCAGACAGTAAACAAGTCTATATTTACAGTGTTTTCAGTATTGCCTACTTGACAACATCGATTTTAAAGAAACTAACATCAAATTAAAATGTTTAAAGCAAAGGACTTACTGATCAAGATTAATAACTGGATCCGACGAGAAGGTAGGAGTTGTTATGGGTATTTCGCCGTGAGCAGAGAAAAATGAGCATGTGTTGCCGCCATTGCTGAAAGTCACCATCTTGGCCGTCTTGAGTGAATAATCAATTGGTGTGAATGAAAAACAAGAGGAGAAGGAAGTCTTTATAGAGAATACTTGTACGTATCTATTTGCAGTAGATGAATTATGTACGGGGTTGGGTATTAGACGGACACATATTTATAGGCGCAAAGAAGTAAACAGGAGATGTATACCAGTTGAGTTGGATATTTTCCGTCGTGATCCCCTATTTTCTGGGGGGATATGAATTGGATTTTGTAATAAAGCTTTCTGGGGTATACCATAGGCGTAGAAGTTTGTGTTTATCCAGGAAAAGTGAAAGATAAATACCTCGTTTATTCCTGATGAGGAGAAAGTAATTAGAAAAATGTGTACAGAATCCTGCAAAACTTATTGGGATCCTGATTTAAGCTAAGAAGAGTAGAAAATCCAGATTAAGATATTGGATTTGATTTCCCCCTAAAAAGGGTTAAAAAAAAAAAAAAAAAAATCCATCCTCTTCCATGTTAGATGTGCATCCAAACAATTGGAAGAGGAGAAGTAATTAATTGATTGGATATATTTTTCCAAGAAAACTTAAGATCGCGATAAGCATGTTGGATTTTGATTTTACATTAAAATCATAACAAATCCTTCTCCATGTATATATCTCCAAGGAATTGGGAAAAATGAAACTTCCAAAAAACTACTTTGTACCGGTGGCTTAATTAGCTGCTTAGAATATTAATTACAATTAGTAAACGACTTAATAAAAAAATTAATTGTATGTGTATATACATTTCACCTACTTTGTGTTAGTGTACAATAACAACATTATGCTGTACCAAAAATATCTTTTTGTAATATAATTCTTTTTATTTTTAGTGATATATTTTTGTTTTTAATTTGAATTATAAATTTGATTTGTTTAGTCGTTAAATATTTATACGTACATGGTTCCAATCTTATTCAATATTTTTTTAGAAACAGTATCATGGTAATAATGAATTATCAAGTTCCATCTTTAAAAAATGTATTAGCAAATCAAGTGCATTTATTTTTTATATAAATAAAACATATTGCTGTTTTGGTGTGTATGTGTTTGTATGCATGTATATATGTTTGTAAGTTTTATACAGTTAGATCTTGAAAGTAGTATACAGTAAATACACGCCGTATGCAGCTTTCCAAAAGCTAGTTGAAATTGAATTACCGGTTTTGATATGGTTGATATACTAGGATGCTGTCACATATATACACCACTTGTAAAATATATATTTTAATGTAGTATTTTTTAAAATAATTAACTTTTAAAAGTTAATTTAGTTGAAATTTTTATTAAATAAAATAAAAAAATATGATACCCTTAAAAGTGTTCTCGTAATTTATTTATTTATTTATATATGTTAATGAGAATATGAGTAAAAATAATTTAATAATGTATATTATTAAATAATTAAAATTGTTATATTATATACAAATATAATAAGATTACATAAAATTTATGAAGTGGTCCACTCTAGAATAATGTAATATAATATAATATAATATTTAAAATATATTCATCTACACATACGTGTATATTTAATGATAAAAACAGCAGTAATTTAATAGCTTCCCGACGAGTTTTGACATTAATCTCGCCCATACCAAACTCCACTCTGCTACGTCTCTCTCATGGATCAGTTACTTTTTCTATTTAAATGAAAAATTGTATTAACAATTTCATCTACATAAAATTAAAAAATAAAAAGAAGAGAAAAACCAGTAGCACATGCAAATGTTTGGTCGGTCGGGGTAGAAATTTATGACAACAAACAGTTTTCTTATGTCTCGTCAAGGGACAATAATCACGTGTTTTTTTATTTTTAAATTCTATTTGTTCACACCAAATTCAAACATTCAACACAAAACTTTTCAACTTCTAATCCGTTCTCACATCATAAGAATTAAAATAAATACTAAAACATGGAAAATATGAGATAAATCCAAATTTTAAATGCCATGAATATAAATTTACACGTTAACTTGTGTGACTGTCGTCAGTTCACATCTTTTTGGTTCCGTCCGGTCCGATCCGATCCAATCCAAATACCAAAAATAGGCAAAGGGCCCAGTATCGGTCTTAGCCATTACCCACAACGACATGTCTCCCTCAACTCCCACTTTTCTCCCCCGACATCCCTTGTTCAGCACCAACATGTTCTGCCTTCTGGCATGTTTGGCTCCAACGCAACACAATATCACAATACCACTCATGCCCCTTTCACACTTCTCTGAAGGCATTTTGTCTCTTGACGAGCCCTATAACACTCTACTATAGCTATGTTTTTGTTTACGAAAATTCCCAACTCCAAATTGCTTCTCTTGCAACAGTATGACAGTGATGGAACTGGGTCACTCTCAAACAATCCACATTCGGCTTCAAATGGCTAAAACATGTTGTTCATTATTCTATCACACCCATTTAATATCTCTTCTTTTGCTATAAAAGAAAATCCAGCAAACAAATACTCCAGGCAGACAAAGTAAAAGAAGAAGAGGGAGATGGGTTACCTGGGAATTTCAGTTTAATTTCTCTCTCACAACAAAGAAGTTTCATCTCTACTTTCTCCCTAAGAATGCCTATTCCCAAGTAAATAACAACACCTAATATAAAAACGACCTAACACAGATAAGTTAATCCATCCTTGGTACTACTAAATAGAAAGGCAAAAGAACAAGATCAAATCGATCAATTTATATATTTACAACATAGGCTTGACCAGGAAAAAAAGAGTCAGAATAAACCCTTTCCCCATATATATTTTCTCTTCATTTTCCTACGCGTGTGGAGCTTCGTTTGGTACAGTTTGAGGACTCTTCCTAAATACATGCTTTCTACAACGTTGAAAAATGCTGTCGTATATCAAATCAAATTGAACTCCTGCTCTTTCCCTGTTCACTATAAACAATATGTGATCTGCTTCAACAATTTTGTAGTACCTGCACATTTAACCAAAGGCCATCCTTTATGTTAGCTCATATAACAATAAATTTTAATCTCCTCTTTCTTGGCTAGCCAGCAGCCTTTTGGCAACTCATAGTTTCAAGATTAATATGAAGGTAGACAAAGCTATGGCTAAAATATCAAGCCCTTGATTATAGTTGATGAAGACGGGAACATGAACTAGTGAAAATTAATGACAAGGTCCTGTTTGTAAACAGTTCTTTGCATTGCACTCATCTTACAATAGCACTGTGGGGTAGGAGACATCACAAGCATTTTATCTAAGACTACCATGTTGCTTGTGGAATATGTATGGCATTACCATGACTGATGGCTTTCGTAATTTGACCCAAAATAGACCCCTACTTCCAATTCTGTTAATTGATAAGGTAACTTGAAGTTGGTCTATTATCATGGTTTAAAACTGTGATCAACCGTTGAGGTCTTCAGAATTCTAAACAAGCTTGAAACTCAGTTTCCAGGAGATCTCATGATTGTGATGATAAAAACTATGAACTTCATTAAAATGCATATTTACAGAGAGGTAGCATACAAGTAAAATTGTCCTAGTTCTAGGTAATGAAATTTTAAGCTCAAGGTTACAAATATGATTTGGTTAATTAACGTGAGAGAGAGAGAGAGAGAGCTAACTACAGCAGGAAAACACTAACCAGATGCCTGGTTGCAATGGTTGGCATTCAGAATCATTCACAATAAAACGGCTTGGATGTTCAAATGGGATCCGAGGATGAGTCATGGATATGGTGTTCAATGCTCCATCATTGTCCTGCCAATCCTCATCCCTGCACATGCAATTACGACGTGAATCATGATGTGCTTTGAATATTTTTGTGGCCAGGAAAGCTTCAAGAGGCACAGTTGCTGTTCAAAATGAATATGGAATTCTTTCAAATTACAGTGAAATGGTAAGAATATGATAGAATAAATACCAGAATCACTAAGTTCCAGAGACTTCTGTATAGTGATTAGAAATCAATGTTTAAATAAAAATTCAGGAAGAAACTTCATTCAAATATCATAAATATTCTAATCCAAGCATATCAAGTCATTACAGTTTTGTCAAACCAAAAGCCTATGAGCAATCAAGAAACTGATGTAACAGAATACATGGTGTACAAACACAAACCTGTAGCCTTTGTATGGTGGGGTGACATCGGGAGGATGACGCCACTGAGTCATCTGCAACACTCTGAGAAACAGCATTGGGTGGATTCCGAGGATTCCAGAAGGAAGAGTAACACCCAGTATCTCCCTCGTTCTCTTAGTAGCATAGCTGAAATAGAATGTGTTTGGGAAGGTCTGCAGATAGGCATTTAGTCTCATGGATCCTTGAATTGTAAGATCTGGGAGGATCCAATCCCCCGAAGCAAATGGACCTGCATTTCCAAGGAGGCAATCAACAAGACCCCAGACACCCATTTTCTTCCAGGACATGTTGAAGTGATCAAACCCGAAATTGTAATAGGACTTTAACCAAGGAATATCCAACCATTCATAAATTATCACTCCTAAACGGCACAGCTGTAACAGACTTATAGGTTTCATGGTTCTTCCATCCTCTGGCCTGGAAAAGAAAAGTTCCCAACTATTCAGCACTACGAGTGATCAATAATGCCTTTCTTTTGAGGGAATAGTAGCCAATGAATATGCTAGGTAGAAATTCTCAAGGAGTAAAGCATCATTCAAAACAGAAATGGAAATCCAGGCTGAAACTTATATAATCAACTTGACTTCTCAGCATGTAACATATTCGGGATTCTACCTTGGTTTTGGTTCTAATATTTTATTTGTTCAATGCTTTTGTTACATATTTCTCAAAAGAAAACCAAGTTACATCTCTCCCTCGCCATTCAGTCGTAGGATTTCCGTGTAACTAAAACCTGGATAAAACAACTAAAACCTGAAAACAAAGTTCAAAAAGAACTTACTGCATTCCATCCAAGTAGGTTCTTGTAGTCCCATTGAATGCCCCAGATAACGATGTTACACTTAATATCCAATTCTCATTCGTGTTCTCATAACCTTTGAATGCCTGAAAAGTTTCATATTGTGTACATAAATGGAACGAATTGACTTACCAGAGGAATGCAAAAGTTAAAAGGCAGAATAGTGACAATTACGGCTATCTCACAGTGAAAGAAACTAACCTTATCGGCGAGCATTTGCTGCAAGACACGAACAACCTGTGCTCCGGCTGAGTGCCCAATAAAATGAATAGGATGGTCCTCGTCCCATTCAGGGTAATGCCCTGTGTCCCATTTTGTAAACAAACAAAAACCCGTTTCAGAATTCTACATGAAAAAGAATTCCCCATAAAACAGTGAAAAGGCAACAAAGCATGCCGAAAGCAGGATGAACTTGCTAACCCTCTTCATAAATTCGTCCAAATTGAGAGTGTCCGCAGGCGTTGCTATGTTCTTCACCGTAATCAACTTGTCCGCCTTTCAAATAGTAGAACAACTCGCGAGCTCTGAAACCCCCCAAAACCCCATTTTTTGGAAGACAACCAGTAAACATCACAGAGAGGCAGAATTAGCAAAAGAAAATTGCAATCCCTGCTTTATTCAGAAATATACCTATCATATATGCTGGTTAATGAACCTAAATCGGGCACGAGAACCCTCTCGTCTTTCTTCTCTGCCCCGGCGAAATAAGACAATCCTCCCAATTTCTGAGGTTTAGAGAACACACAAAATCAAAACTCACATTGAGGAACAATATGAAGAACAGATAAATTTTTGCAGCATAAAATGGAAAAGGAGCCAAAAAAATTAAAACCCAATTGACGGGGAACAATAAAATCCATTTTACCCCTTTGCCAAATCCAAAGATTCCATGAACTAACACGATCGGAGGCAGACCGACAACATTGGTTGATTTTGCTGTTGGGTCTGCCTCCTGAAGCTCAAGATTGATGTTAGGCCTGAAAAGGCATTCGTTCAAAGCTTGAGAGAGATCGCCAGCGACAGCGCTGCTGAATATGTAAAACCCATAAAGCAAATGCACCAAAGAGCTGACGAACAGCTCTGTCCATTGCAGAGCAGATATCATACACCACCTTATCATCCTCGCACACAAACTACTCCAAAAAGGCAAAAATGAAGCCAAAAAAAAAAAAAAGGAAAAACCAGAGCCTTCTTCTCCGAGAAAAAAAAAGAAGTCAAAGAAGGCTCCTCTGCTTAAAAAGTCAACAAGCCCTCCTCCTCCTGTGATCCCCTTCTATGATCCTTGCATAGAAGGGGTAAAAGAAACGGTGGTATTTGTATACAGGAAAGAGAACCTTACGTTACAGTTTTTTTTTTTTTTTTTTTTTCTTCTTCTCTTAATATCTTGTAACTTTGAAATTGGGTTTCCCACAATTTTCTCATCACCCACCTAATCATAAGAAGAGAGAGAGAGAGAGAGAGAGAGAGAGAGCAGCAAACAAACAAATTTCCCTGCCAATCAATAACTCACACTATTCATTCATTCTCCATGTTGTCTTTCTTTCCCAGGTCTTTTTTACCCCCTCAGCAAGAAAAAGGAGGAAAGTGCAACTGGTTGTGAATGGTGCCAGTTGTCCTAGTTGGAACCGCTCCGATAAAATGTGGAGCCAAATAAAGCGGGACCCACTTAAACATAGGGAAAATCTAATCCCCAATGCATCTCTCTGTCTGTTTTACTGATAAAAATAAAAA